TTTGCTAATATCCAGTTTGTTTTAAGGGGTCAAAATTATCTAAGATATGTAACTTTTTTTTTTAATTTTATTTATTTATTTTTTCCCCCAAAGCCCCAGTAGATAGTTGTATGTTATAGCTGCACATCCTTCTAGTTGCTGCATGTGGGACGCGGCCTCAGCATGGCCAGAGAAGCGGTGCGTTGGTGCGCGCCTGGGATCGGAACCCGGGCCAACAGTAGTGGAGCGCGCACCCAACCGCTAAGCCACGGGGTCGGCCCTAAGATATGTAACTTTTAGTTTAACATTTTCCACCAAATATATTTTGAATAAATAATATAAATTCCCTCAAATGAGTTCTAATTAGTCTCATAGTAAGCCAGAGTTTAGAAAAATAGAATCGTCAAACTGTTTTCTTTAGAATCATATCTATTGCTTACCAGATATTCATATGCCAGGCACTGAGCTGGCACTTTCGTGAATAATCTCGTTTAATCTTTTAGACAAAACTAGAAGTAGGTACAATATAATTCCCATCTTATAAAAGAGAAAACTTAGAAGAAACCAAGAGACATGCCCTAAATTTTGCAGTGAGTCTTTGAGCTGGGATTCCAGGCGTCTAATGCTGAGTCCTTGATATTTGAAGGTGTGGTCACGAAGGCTGCCATTTACTGCACACCAACTCAAAGAGAAGGAAAATTAACGTTGTACTAAAGGTTTCCCCACTAAAATAAACATTTTTGGACAAACTCTAAGTAATTCAGCAGACAGAAAATTGGTTTTAGCATAAATTAGGCTCTATATTTAATTTTTACCATAATATTATTAAGATTAAGATTATTGGAAAATAATTAATTCTATTTTTAAAAATATCCCCAATTCTCAAAAAACATGTCTGATACATGACATACGTAAGTGAAATAGAGAATGAGGCCATTTTTCCTGTGAAATACTCAGGTAATGAAGGCAAGGACGCTTGGAGTGCTACGTTTGGAGGTAACACCGTGAGCAGGATTTGCTCCCAGGGTCCAAATCGTCATCTCCTTTTCCCCCTGCATACCACGAGGATGTGAGTGGTGAGTGCGTGCATGCATATGTGCATGTGTGTGCATGTGAATGTGGGATCTTATGCATTAAGGCATTCACTTATCTTGGAAATTGGACCATTCAATTTACTCATTTTGACTGATAGTGACTTCTGTCCGACTAAGCTTACCAGAAGTCACCAGTGACTAATAACTAATAACACTTGCTATACAGAATAGATTTTCTTATATGAACTCAGAACAGAAAATTTACCAAATCTCTTAGGCAAAATCCTAGCTGCGCTGAATAAACTTAAGGGACAGTTATTTTTCTGCGGTATGTTGGCAGTAAGGCTGTACACATCAGGTCAGAATGCCTAATGCGAGTCTGAACGAGATGATGAGTATTGTAATTACAAAAGAACATAACTAAATGTAGTTCTTCATCCTCAAAGTCTTCGCGACTCCATATTCCATAAACTGATTTCATAATATAGTGTTGTTGAGTGAACTATTTTTCTCCTGGGCCTCGGAAAAAAAATGCCACCTCAGCAAACTAATACTTTGTTCAGACCCTTGACTTGAAAAATTTACTGTTGTCGCCTAGCCAAACCTCACAGTGTAGGTTTGTTTTAGAATAATGGGGTTTATATGCAAATCTCTCAATTTATTACTGTATCACATTGGTTGTAAGTATAAAGTGCAGCTAATATGCAAATTCTACTCCACACTGCTCAGGCTATGCCTTACTCTGTTAATATAAATCAGTTTTCTAGTTTAAATATTAAACCTTAAAAAGCAAAAAACTTCACTTTCAGAATGTTATACCTGAGATACGTGTTCTATGGCAGTTTGCATATGTTCTTCCTCCAAGTGAGACAATTCATCTTTTCTTATTTTATCTTTTAACAGAACTCTTAAACACTTCTAATTCTAAGAAAAAGAACTCCAAACCATTACAAATGCTGAGAAGCAGAATCAAAGTGAAGCCTGGGGATGCTGTCTGAGTACCCTGGGAGAGGCACGTGAGCCACATTAAGCCGACTGTGGGAGGCACAGCACTCTAAGAACTAATAATTTTTCTTTGGAAGCTTACTCAGAAAAATCAATCAAGTTACTCTCATCATAAAACAATGGAAGTATTTTATCCCAAACATAAGTGCTCATCTTTACAACTGTAATTTAAAAATTCTGAAATTTTAAAAATTAAAAAAATTTGATATATCTTCATTGGAGTCAAATATTTAAAACTTGCTAATCATGCCATCGGATAACATAGTAGCTTTCTTGTTATTTTCATTTTGTATATATTCATTAGAGTTATTTTAAGTGAATGGTAACCTATGGATTATAGGAGTGAGAAAAACACTCTTGAGGTGACATTTCTTCACTCATGAATGCCACATCCCTTGAACAGCTAAATGAAGTGACAAGACAGAAGCAGACCTGGCACCACCAGTGACTGTGACCTTGAGGAGAGGGTGTGGTCAAAGACTCAGTGATTCAACAGAAACTGGGAGGGGATTAGCCACTAAAGAGGGTCTCTGAAGATGCATGAAACCAGGATCCAGAGCCAATGTGGCCTGATACCAGGTTTAGCATCACTGGAAGCTGCGTGAATTCTCTAATGTCTGTGAGGCTCTTTAAGAGCAACTCAATAAATTAGACCCAAAGAAAACTGCTCGAGGAAACATGAGAGAGTGTTTGCGCTGGTTTTAGAACACCACAGATACACCTTCTCCTTTGTCACACCAGCTTTCAAGTTCCCTGGAGACAGCGTCTTCACACAGAGTCTGAAGCTCGTTGAGTTTGTGAGATTCACTCTGCCGCCATTTTGACCAAATGGCCCCAAGGCCTGAGGCTCCCAGTTCCCAGAATTACTGGGTCTAACTGGGTTATCAGTAGCTGGTTTACTCCTTTACAGTCACTGAAGTTTTACTTCAAGTGGAGCGTAGGATGAATCACACACAACTGAATCACACACAACTCTTTCTACAAATTTGGGCTTCCAGGAAAGGAAACAGAACCTTGAATTCTCAGTGGCGTTTGTCTCAGCGACACTGTGTCCTGCTCTAGTTCCTTTGCTCTGCCCCAAATGCCTTCTTTTTTCTAAGAAACTCTCTTTTTCTAGAGAATTTCTTGGCGTGCACACTGAACTTTCTAGCTTGTGCTTTCTCACTCTTATAGCCTTGATGGGGGTGGATTTGGTCAACTTTTGACTGGTCGAGCCTGTCGATTACTTCATCTAGTTCCTGTACTGAATCTGGTCTGTTGATAGCACCTTCTCAGAAGCCCCCTCCACAGCCAATCAGTTGCGGTTTATACCTGGTTTTCACTAATAGGACTCAAGAGAGGTCACTTCGGAGCACAGAAATTAATGGCATTTTATACTAATCTTAGTAAATTCTGTTTTAAAGTATTCCAGAGTAATTTTATCCTGCTTTCCCATAATTCATTGTGTAAACTTATATAAATCTTACTTGACATCCCACTTTATAAAGTCCAATAATCTATTTATAGTCCAAGTGCTCCAGTGAGTCTGTATTTGGCTTAAAAAAAAAAGTTCCCATATTCAAAGTATTTTGAAAAATCCCAATGATCTGAAATCTAAACAATCAGATTGTGAGGGTATATTTTAGGAAGAGATTGGTGGAATAAGTATAAAAGCAAATGTGGATTGGGGCAATCTCTTTAGGAGTTGGGTGAGTGACGAGTATTCTCTAGGGGAAAAGGCATCTTGAAGGAATTAGACATTTGAACAACTATTTGAAGGAACTTTTATTTATGATGAAGAGTCTTCAATTAATGTCATCAGTAAGCTTATGCAAGAGCAGAGCAGCCCAAATAAACACTAACTTGCAGCAAGATAGCATTGTTCAATAGAGTTTGTCGGATTTTACTGAGTCTAACATTTACACTACTATAGGAGTCAAGAATTTGCCATATTGGGCTGAATAATTTCTAAAAGAAAAACAGTAGCATCAATGAAGCAGTCAGGTATCAGAGACATGTTTAAGAAGGACTCAAAAAATATCTGTCTAAAAATTTCTGAACCTTCTACCACTCCTGCATCAGTTACTCCTATGACAACTTTAGGTTAATAAGTGCAAGGGTCACGGCCTTCTAGATAATGAGGCACATGGGCTCACTTGATAATTAGTGCAGCTAGAACAGCTACGGAAACTTACACTAAACTTATTCTAGTGAAGAAGAGAATGTTCTTAGCATAACAGGTGAAACTTTACTAATTCAGCAATTTAAGTTACATATATGCATATATATATACACATATAGTGGAAAACAAGACAAGGTAATTGCAGTTTAACTTACAAATATAACAATTTTTTAAAGTTTCTATAAAAACTGAACTTGAATAAGATGCTGAACTGCAACACTAACCTCTCGAGAGTAAATTCATTATTTAGAATCATCTTTACAGTATTAGAGAAGACAATGTGAAAATCAACCATTTTATAAGTACTACATAGCATTTTATTGATGGGTTGAAATATATTTCTTGTATTTTTATTTATAATATCTCATGTGGTCCTACATTTTTAAATGTTTATTTAATTTAAGTCTACAGTGAAATATGTATTAAAAGATACTATACATACATAAAATAGCGACATTAAGAAGCCTTGGGCCTCTTGGAATAGCGGCCAATGTTCTGGAGCAGGGGTCAGCGAGTTTTTTCTGCAAAGGGCCAGACAGTAAATATTTTAGACTTTGGGCACCATATAATCTCTGCCACAATTACCTAACGCTGCTGTGTAGCACAAAAGCAGCCTTAGACAATACGAAACCAAATAGTGTGGCTGTGTTCCAGTAAAACTTTATTTACAGAATCTACAGTGGGAGATTTTGGCAGCCCTGTTGGAGGGCCAGAGTTTGCTGACCCCTGAACTTGAGACTCGTTCTGTATATTGTCCCTTCCTGTCTGATACAACCTTATAAAACAGCCGCAAGGTTTAATCAAGCAGCAAATCAACATACATTTTCCCCTGGAACTCCAGGAACACCAAATTCACCTTTAATACCAACTGTACCCTAAAATATAGAAATGCTTACTAGGAGGTTTTTTTAAAGGTGTATTAGTCGCTAATGTTGTCGAAGAGCATCTACCATTTCACAGATGAGTGGCTTTTGCTTGCACCAAAGATTGGGCCTTCAGTTCCTTCCTCATACTGTCCATAAGCCATTAAACTATACTTTTGACAATTAATAAATTATCAAAAAATTAATAATTAATAAATATCAAAGTGCTAATCAAAACTAAAACTAGACATTCTCCACGCAGACATACGTAACTCAGCTTTGTCATTTCCTTTATATTTATCAAAGGTAAGGAATGGTTCTATTGCTGTTACCTCAGCTAATACCTGAAGCTTTCCATCCAATAAGTCATGAATTTCAGACTGTAATGGACCCATATGTGCTTCATTTAGTGTGCCTGACCTTACGCCACATCCTCCGGGAGAAACCCCAAATCTGGGCCAGTCCAGTTGTCAGCTTCCCTGCCCTTCCATCCACACCAGGAAAATCTGCTCCATGAAGCTGCCTTGATGGCTTATCACAAATTCAGCCTGATAAATTTATCCTTGAAACAGTGGAAAATAATATAAACTTTTATTATTTTTCTTTTATTTTTTAAATTTTACCTAATTATTTTTTAATGTAAACTTTTTGAATGAGTTTCTGTAACTATCACTAACGCTTGGTAGAGATTAAGAAATACATTAGAATATTATGAGTACATAATGCCATTAGTACACTGATATCGTATATTAATTTCAGATTTAAGGCACACAAGTAAACTTCAACTTCAAGTTCCTACAGATGAGATGAGATTATATCAGATTGGGTAAAATTGATGCAAAAACAGAAAAGACTTGTCAATTAATCCAATATGTTCAATATTAGATTAGAAAGGATGAAGAAATGTTTATTTCTTATATTGACATAGACAAAAAGTCAAAAGCACAATATGAAATCTTACTTCTGTGAGGTCATTACTAAGGGAAGATATTCTTTCTTTTTAAAAAATTATGAACATATTTTGATTCAATTCCTTTTTGATTGGTGGAGTGTGGTTGCAGAATGGGCACATGAGTAATGTCAGATTGGAAAGAAAGTAAAGGGAAACTGCCCAGCAATCTCTGGGTTAACACTCTAGACCACTCAGAACGGAACTTCCACATAGTAGATCGGGGGGGGGGGGGGGGCAGTAGAAAGGAATCAACACCAAAGTTTTTGACTATCTAGTCAAGTAAGTCAACTCACTCCATTTTAAATTGCTTTGATTTTCTCTAAAAGCATATCAGCAAGGCAACCGTTTCATAAAGACTACATTTTTGGGGAAATTAACTGGATATGTAGAAGATAATAATACAAAAATAAACTGGAAAATTATTCCCAAAATAGAGCTCAGATCACACTCCCCCTTAGTTCCAGGAACATTAGAATTGAGCTGCTGTTTTACAAAACTCGGAGAGAATTTCAAGTCTGAAGTGGGTGAAGGTACCAGTCAGGGTCTTGAAGAACCAAGAAAGCAATGCAGTTGCTAGGTAATTAGCTTGCTAACTATACTGGCTAAGAAAAAGGAATTAAAAGATTCAGAAAATTATAATAATTGAGTTTGAATGAAAGAAAAGTATTAATTATTATTTCAAATAATGTCACCTAGAGTTTAGACAGAGGGCACAGTTATGACAGTTTGATTAGGTGCCCTGATACAGAATGCTGATAACATCTAGGTGTTCAAACATGAGCAGTGGGTGAATCCAAAACTATCTTCTCTATGAGATGGGTCATCATCTTGATGAAAAAAAAGCAGTAATCAGATTAAAGAAGCATCACAGTGTGGATGAGAAAAAAAGGCAAATAAAGATAAATATTAAATCATGCCAAAACTTGGGGCTTTTTTCTAAATATTTCTTATTCTTCATTAATTAACTGTCAATATCAAGCTAAAAATAATCAGGTCGCTTGTGAAAAACACTTGTGTTTTTTAAAGGAAAAGTGTAGTAGAACAATAGTGAACAAGATAACAGTCCTTATGATTTCACTTACCCACCTCTTTCTTTGCAAACTGACTCTTTGCCCTCCTTCGCAGGAGCCCCTGCGCAATTGGAGCACAGAATTTACAGGTTCTAGAAACAGCTCAGGTGATGGCTTAGACTTTCCTTGAAGTACACCATTCATTCATTCATTCAACATATTTTTAGCCCCTATTATAAGCTATTCTATATGTGGTGCTCACAGAAATAAATAGATGCATAATGATAGCATGTTAGGTGAGAACAAAAGTGCTAAGAAAAGAAAGAAGATGGAGGTGGAATGAAGGGAAGCTTTTTATATAGACATGTCAAAACAGGCCTTTCTATTTTAAAGTGATTTCTGGGCAAGAACCTAAAAGACGTGGAGGAGACCCAAGTGGATACCTGGGAGAACATTTGAGGTTTATGTAACCTGGCGTAAAGGCCTTGGGGCAGGAGTGAACAGGGGGACGGTAGGAGATGTAGGGAGTGGGGAGTACGGTAGGGAGAGCTCTACACATAAGGTGAAGTCTTGGAGCCCATGGTTAGAGCTTCAGTGTTTGTCTTGAGGGAGAGAGGAAGCCATTGTGGGTTCTGACCCAAGTTAGACAGGATGTACTTACACAATTATTCAGAGCAGTTGTCTAACTCATGGTGTATGGGCATCAATAAAGTGACATTTGGTCTTTATAAAGCTGCGTGGATTACAGTAGGAATTCTTAAAATTTAACACCTTTAGAAATATTGTAACGAGTAATACATAATTTGGAAAGAGATATGGAAATTGTAGTCTAAAAACTTTTCTCATTTTATCTCATTGAGCCGAAAGTAAGATGCACCAAGAGATTAGTAGTATATATCATATAGTCAGTGAGAAAAAGTAAATTATAATTGTCTCTGGATGGTTCTTACTCAACATTATGTAAGCATAACAATGCAAGGAATCTCTTCAAAAACTAGTACACTACATCCAGGAAAAGTCTTGTCAAATAATATTTGGAGGAAAAGACACAGATTTGAATGAAATATTTAAATTATTGAGGGATCTTTTGAAGAAATTACCAATAAATTATTAATATTTACTTCCAGTAGCATATAATAACTCAAGATATTCATATAGTAAAACATTTAATCAACTGAAAATTTAAGGGATTATCTCATGAATGAAGATTTCTTTGTTTTTGATCAAGTCACATAAGAAACTAAAATCAACCCAAAAGGATTATCTCCCCCTCTCCTTCAACATGTGAACAATTACCCTATGGATAGGAAAGCAGAGGAAATATATATTTGTCCAGTATCTATTATGTGCCAGTTTCCAGGACTAAGTGTTTTATAGATGTTTTATTGTATTCCTTCTTCACAATAAACCACTGACTAGCTGCAATTAAGGATCATTTTCAAAGCAAGTAAGAAGTGTACAGGATTCAGTCCCAAGTAGTTCAGGCACTAAGGGGATACTCCTTCTAATACAGTGTCCTACCTCCCCCAAACATCCTTTGTTGGTCTTATAGACCAACGAAAGGGAAACCTTGGGAACAACGTCTGGTTCCCTTAGTAACACTGCACTTCTCATCACTCACAAAATCAACTATTCAATATGCCTTAGAGCAAAACGTCTTTCAATCTTCGAGCTATGCAGGCATTATTCTGTGCACCTACTCTAATAGTGAAAATTATATACCAGACTTAAACACAGAGGAAGCTATCTTTATTTATTGCACATTAAAGTTGCAGGATCACATAGCACAATAGGAACAGGAACAGACTCATCATCAATTCCTTAAAATGAAACAATACATCCATGTTTATTACAAGTGCCAGGAAAGCTGAACATATTCATGGCCATGGTCATCGAAGTCATATTTATACAGTGAGGGGTATGCTGGTGCAATCAAATGCTGGTGCTTATCTTGAAAAAATAAAGGAAGTACACTGATATATTATTTGTTTTGTCTTGTAGATTATCAACTTATTTTATCCCAGCTGTTTTTGCCTTGCCACTAAAATGTCTCACCACTATGAGTTTTGTGTGGTCCGGAAGTTAAATGTTAATAATTTTTAAGTATATCATAAACAGGAAGTTATGTAATGCATTGTAAATAATACATTTTTGTATGTTTTATAGATTTGGCATACAATACATTTGCTAATAAGTATCATTTTACTAGTTCCTTCCTAGTTCTGTTCCACTGGTTTTCATTCCGTCAGAGGGAGGGAAGGCTCCTTGGACAAGTCATCACTAGATTATAAATTCACTGAGAGCAAGTCCTGTGCTTTCTCATTATGCTATAGCTCCAGCATTTAGCACGCTTTTTGTTATAATAATAGGAACTCAATAAATAGTTGTTGATGAATGAATGAACAAAAGAAAAAATGCATATTTAGATGTTAAAGTAGGAGACACCTACTTATGATTAAAGAGTATGGAGGAAAGAATGAGTCTTTAAAAGATATATGTTCTAACAAGAGTGACTCAATACTTACTCTTTTAAAAAAAAATCACTTAAATCACTAAAGGTGATTTAATGATTTTCTTAATATTTACTTAATACTTTTCTTAATAATTAGGACCACACTTGTGATGCAGAAAGGTTTTTTAAAGGGACAGGGATGTTTTAAAAGTATTTTACCCCTTCTAAAACAAGCATGTGAAATTTTGTCCTATGCCAGTAATTTTGTTTTTTTGTGAGGAAGATCAGCCCTGAGCTAACATCCGTGCCTATCCTTCCCTTTTTGCTGAGGAAGACCAGCCCTGAGCTAACATCTATTGCCAGTCCTCCTCCTTTTTCTCCCTAAAGCCCCAGTAGATAGTTGTATGTCATAGTTGCACATCCTTCTAGTTGCTGTATGTGGGACGTGGCCTCAGCATGGACTGACAAGTGGTGCGACGGTGCGCGCTGGGATCTGAACCCCGGGCCTCCACTAGCGGATTGCACGCACTTAACTGCTAAGCCACGGGGCCGACCCCTGCCAGTAATCTTAAATTGATAGATTTGGTACATCAAAGAG